TTCAGGCCCAAGGACCGTCAGAAACAACTCCTGGTGGAATACACCTGCCTGGGATGGGGCCGGAAGATCTTGTGGCACACAGAGGGAGCAAATCGCGTCGGGTGCGAGGGGAGCCGCCGATCACCCCCCCCTCCTACCCGTCTTCCTCCTCCTCCACCTCCTCCTCCTCCTGCTCCTGTCCTGCTCCTCCTCCTCCTCCTCCTCCTCCTCCCCCTCCTCCTCCTCCTCCTCCTCCTCCTCCTCCTCCTCCTACTCCTTCTCCTCCTCCTCCTCCTCGTCCTCCTCCTCCTCTTCCATTCCGATTCCTTATAGATTACTCTTCCCTGTCGCACCCCAAGGCCAGTTGAAACGGCGGGCCGGGCGTTTCGCCTGAGACTTCCTGACCACTTATGACCCTGAAGCTTAAACTTGGCAGCAGTTTCACGGATGGAAGGCGGGTGGTTTTCACAATGTGCTTCTCGCCTTGGCGCCGCGCACACTCGTCTTCACAATTTCCCAGTAAGCTTCACGGATTGAGGGCAGGCGGTTTTCAATATGTAGCTCTCGCCTTAGCGCCACGCACACTCGTCTTACCACAATTGCAAGGGTTTCACACATTGGGGGGATTTCAACATGTTGTTCTCGCGGTAGCGCCGAGCACCTTCGTCCTTTACATTGCAAGAGCTTCACGGATACTGGGCGGGCCGTTTCAAAAATGTAGCTCTCGCCTTAGCGCAGCGAGCACTCGCTGATTAACTACAAAGTTCGTACGGATTGATGGCGGCTCGTTTCAAACTATGATTCTCGCCGTGCCGCGCGCATTCGTTTTAAACGTTTACCAGACTTTCAATGATTCTCATGGCTAACGTACCAGGAATTGAGGTTTGGATCGACTCAGGACGGTCAGGGCGCAACAGTTTTGCTGATTCGCTGTGAAGTCGCAATGATGATGTTCTGGCATGGTTCTGGATTGCCAAGACGCAACAGCCAGGTTAACTCGTTGCGTTGAAGACCTGAGAATGTTTTTTTTTCTCTGGCAGGCTTCAAGATGTTCACACGGTTGTCCCCCAACGGGGCAATTCCCCCAGTGGACATGACTCCTTGTAGAGGCCTACGACGAGGAAACTTGGAGGGAGGGTGTATTTCAACATCGTTGATGGGACTTGGGTTTGCAATGGTCCTCCTCCCCCTCCTCCTCCTCCCCCTCCTCCTCCTCCTCCTCTTCCTCCTCCTCCTCCTCCTCCTCCTCCAACTCCTTTTGCCTTATGAATGACTATCCCCCGCCGAACCCCGAAGCTAATCGACAAGGCGGGTCGGGCGTTTCGCCTGAGACTTCCTGACCGCTTATGACCCTGAAGCTTAAACACTGGCGACTGTTTCACGGATGGAAAGCGGGTGGTTTTCAAAATGTGCTCCTCGCCTGGGGACCGCGCACACTCGTCTTCACAACTTGCCAAAGCTTCACGGATTGAGTGCAGGCGGTTTTCAATGTGTAGCTCTCCCCTTCGCGCCACGCACACTCGTCTTACCACAATTGCAAGGGTTTCACGGGTTGGGGGCGGACCGTTTTCGACATGTTGTTCTCGCGTAGCGCCGCGCACCTTCGCCTTTCAAATAAATACCAGCTTCACGGTTTGAGGGCGACTATGTTTCAAAATGTAGCTCTCGCCCTAGCGCTACGCATCACTGTTGTAAAGTATCCAAGCGAAGGACCCAACCATATGCAGTTGTGAATACCACGTTGTGGGTACCGCTTTCGGTGGAGCTCCTTTCCAGGCCACGCAACGTGCTAGGACTGTGCCGTAATGGGTGGGGGAGACGAGTGCGGCTGCGATAACTGGGGTCTTCGGTGGAGCTCACTATGGTGCCACGAAGCGCTGCCCTGTGTGGGGAGAAGCATGCGACTGCGGCCACTGGAGTCTTCGGTGGAGCTCCCAATGAGGCCACGAAGCGCTATACTGGGTGGGGGAGATGCACGCGGCCGCGGCCTCTAAAGTCTTCGGTGGGGCTTCCTGTGGGACACGAAACGATGTACTGGGTGTGGGAGACGCATGCGGCCGCGGCCACTGTGCCCTTCGGTGGAGCTCCCTATGAAACCACGAAGGGTTGTACTGGGCATGGAAAACGCATGCGGTCGCGGTGCTGGGATCCTCGGTGGAACTTCCTAGGGGCCAACGGAACGGAGTACTGGGCGGGGGAAGCGCACGCGAACGTCGCCTCTGGGGCCTCCGGTGGGGCTTCCTATGGGACCACGAAGCGCTGTACAGGGCGTGGAAAACGCATGCGGAAGCGGCCACTGGGGTCCCCGGTGGAGCTTCCCAGGGGGGCAAAAAGTGTATTGTGCTGAAGCCGTCGGTGGAGGTCCTTAGGGGGCCACGAAACGCTGTACTGGGTAAACGAAACGCATGCGAGCGGCGCCTCTGAAGCCTTCGGTGGAGCCCCCAGTGTGGGGGCCAACGCATGCGGACGTCGCCTCTGGGGCCTTCGGTGGGGCTCCCTCTGGGGCCACGACACTGTGTAATGGGCGGGGGGAACGCATGCGAACGTCGCCCATGACGCCTTCGGACCTCCCGACGGGAAAACGAAACGTGTGAGGTGTGTGCCGAAAATTATGGCGGGGACGCATGCAAACGTCGCCACTGATGCCAAAATGTGCGGCGTGGACAATCATGCGGCCGCGGCCACTTGGGGTCCTCGGTGGAGCCCCCTTGTGGGGCCATGAAACGTGCAGGGGATGTTCCTAAATGGGCGGCGGGGGCGCATGTGGACACAGCCATCGGGGCCTTCGGTGGAGCTCCCTATGGGGCCACGAAACGTGCAAGTGGTGTGCCGACATGGGTGGAGGGGACGCATGTGGACACCGCCGCTGGGGCCTTCAGTGGAGCTCCATGTGAGGCCAGGAAACTTGTGAGTGGTGTGCCGAATGGGTGGAGGGGACGCACGTGGACACCGCCGCTGGAGTCTTCGGTGTGGATCCCTTTGGGGCCACGAAACGTGCCAGGGGTGTGCCGACATGGGTGGTGGGGGCGCATGTGGACACCGCCGCTGGGGTCTTCGGTGGGGCTCCACAAGGGGCAACGAAACGTGTGAGGAATGTGCCGAAATGGATGGCGGGGTCGCATGTGGACACCGCCGCTGGGGCCTTCGGTGGAGCTCCCTATAGGGGCACGAAACGTGTGAGGGGTGCACCGACTTGGCAGCATGATGTAAAAAGCACAGGCACGCAGACAAGGAAGGATGAGGGGGGGGAAACAAGGAAGTAAGGAAGAAACGCGGGGCGCTGTCTCATATTAGAACGAGGACCCAACACCACCGGATAGCTGGGAACAGTTGCAAGAGTTTCACGGGTTCGCACGGATAACGTACCAGAAACTGCGTGTTGGAACGATCAAAGATTGCTCAGGTACAACAGGTACGTTGACTCGCGTTGTTGGAGTCCCAGGAATGGCGTTCTGGCACGGTTCAGGGCCGTCAAGATGCAACAGTCAGGTTGATTCGTGGCGTTGGAGTCCCAAGAACGCGTCCCAACATCGTTGATGAGTCTTGGGTTTGCACTTGTCCTCCTCCTCCTCCTCCTCCTCCTCCTTCTCCTCCTCCTCCTCCTCCTCCTCCTCCTCCCGTCCTCCCTTCCTCCCTCCCTCCTTTCCACCCCCCTCTGCTGCGCATTCTGCTTCTCCCTCCTCATCCACCACCTCCCTCTCCTCATCGTCCTCATCTTTCCTCCTCCTCCTCCTCCTGCTCCTCCTCCTGCTCCCCTGATCGGCATGCTTCTGCGTCTTCGGCACCATCTCCCTCCTCACCCCCTCCTCCCGTGCGCAGCGCCCCATCCTGCCCGCCAGAGCAGCACCTCGTCGGCAAACGCGCACAGGAGGACGTCGAACCCCGTCACCCAGCGAGCCTGGGAGGGAGGAGCGAGGTTACCAGGGACGAGGGGAGGCGAGAGGAAGGACGAAGGAGGAGGGACGCGGCGAGGGCCATTCGGCCATCTCTGGGGCACACGAAAAGAAATACCAGTACTATGCGCACCCGTGGGAGGCACACGTCCGAACCGAACAGATATATTAGCACAAGCATCATACAACGCACCCTTGCCCAGGCGGCATGGCCAGAGAGCGCCCGCCACCGAGCACGTGCCACAAAGGTGTCTGTCTCCGAGCGCGCGTCGCCCCAGCTGAAGGGGCGACGCACACTTCGCCGAGGTGTGCCTGGGCGATGCCGAGCCCTGCCGGCGTGGTGCCGTCAGCGGAAGCAACGCGACCACCTCCACCCTGCTGCGGCGCCACGGGCCCGCTGCTCAGGGACAACGGCGACGGGGGCGCCGAGAGGATGGCGGCGCGGCGAGAAACGAGGGAGACGGGAGGCCGGTGCGCCGCGCCAGCCTGTCTCCTTTCACTGGCGCCCGCCACACGGCAAGCACGAGAGGCAAAAGCCTGCGTCGCAGCACAAGGCGTCGATGTAAGAGTGACGACGCCAAGTGCGCTCGATCTGCTGATGGAAAACTGCGTAGGGAGGCGCAAGTTCGCACGCGAAGGTGAGACCCGCCCTCCCCACTCGCGAGAACAGGTGCCGCCAACACGTTGAACGCATTGACACATACTTGCTGAAGAGCCGACGTATTGCCAAACCGGCTGCTGCACAACTGCCCGTCACACTCCACTCCGAAGTCGAAGACCATGCGCTCAGAGCAATTAAGGCGAGCGGCTGGGCGGAAGCTCAATCAAAAAGCGCGGCCAACCCTCGACCACCCCCGCCGGTCCCTTGGCCAACGGCCTGCAGATCCTACAGATCGTGCCCCTGGTGCGAGAACAGCGGCATTGCACCGCACCATGCTTGGACTCCCGTTCGGCCCCGCTCCAACGCGGTACTGTGCGTGGCTTCTCGGCTCCGAGGACCGAAGAACTGTGCACCATACCGTTCGACGACGGCTCGACGAGGGTCGAGGATCGACGACGGCTCGGGAGAAGCCACCGCGGTGCGGTGCACACCAGTCGTCCGCGGAGCTGGCTCGTGAGAGCACTCCGTCACGCCGCGCCCACACGCGCAGCCAGGATCGCGTCGCGGATCTGCTCGCTGCTGGTGTCTTCGGCGGGAGTCCGCCCCTTGCGGTCCAGCACGAACGTCGAGGCGCCGTGCCTCAGGAGCACGCCCACGGCCGCCAGTCTCAGGTTGAAGGCCGCAAAGTGCAGCGGGTACTGGCTCTTCATGTTGGGAATGTCAGGGTCCGCGCCAGCCTGCAGCAGGCACTCCAGGACCGACACGTGGCCCTGGCGCGCAGCCCGCGACACCGCCGTGGCCTCCAGGTAGCCGCGCGCGTTGACGTCGACGGCCGCGGAGCCTGCTCCACCCCTCCCGAGAAGAAGCCGCACGCACTCCTCGCTCCCGGACTCGGCCGCCCAGACGATGGTCGGACACGCGCCGGAGCGAGCCCGGGCGGGAGTGACCCTCGGCGCGCGGCTCGAGGGGAGCCAAAACCCGAGCGCGCATGGCCTCTGCCGTCGGATCGCGCTCAGCGAATCGGGGGGCCCCCATTGGCCCGCACGAGGCCCAGACCTCCCACCACCACTTTTGTTCGTGTCGTCGACCCCCCGAGCTCTGGACAGAGACATACTAGTACTATATGTCCTCCTTGGAGGCGCGCGTCCGACCCGAACATGTAGTATACCCATCTTGTAGTATATCGTTTCCCGAGCGGTGTGGCCAGAAAGCGCCCGCCACGACGCACATACTATAAGATTTCTCGGTGCGCGCGTCGCCCCTGGGGGGGCGACGCACATATAGTATAAGTATGTTGGGGTGTTGCCGATGGACCCCTTCCCCAGGACCGGCTTGTTCATCCCGAATCGTCTTTGGGCGCTCCCGAGGCCCGGTATAAGGGCCCCTGGAGGCCGAACATAACGAACCGCCTCCCGTCGTGACTTGATCTCTCCATGCCTCGGGAGGGCCTGCGAACGTCCTTCCGGCGATGGGGCCCCTCCTGCGCGCAGCCGAGATGGGCGGGTTCTCTCGCCCGGCCCCGCCGGACACGGAGCTCTCCTCCGCGGGCGCGGCCTCCAGCGCCCTCTCCAGGGCCGCGGCGTCCCCGGCCGCCGCGGCGCGGGCGACGGCCGTGCTCGGGGCTGGCGTTAGGTCGGGCATGGCCTCCTACAGGGGGATGCTGGAAGAAAGATGAAAAGCAGTCAAACAAAGACTCAAAAATAGTAGGATACGGTTGTCCCCTGACTGTGTTCTGACTGTTTTTATAAAAATACTCCTCCTGTAGAGGGATTTGCCCGACTTAAGGCTGGCGGGGGAGGGTACTTCTTCAGGGGCACGCTGGTGCCGTAGTCCCCGGGCACCTGGAACCGCTCCCACAGGAGCCGCGGCAGCTGCGCCAGGCTCTGCACCACGAGGTCGGCGCCGCCGTCGGCGCCGCCCTCGGCGTAGCGCCGCCCCGAGTCCACCAGCACCGTCGTGACGCCCGCGGCCCTGCCGAAGGCCACGTCGTTGGAGGGCTCAGGAGGCGATTCCTGGAAGGTCTTCGCGAGAACGATGAACCGCATAAACCTGATAAGAAGGCATACCCCCCCACACTGTCCTACGAGCCTCATGATTATCCCTGGCCAAGACAGTTTTGGCCAGCGGTCGGGAGCGGCGGGGCCAAACTCGATTATCGCCGGGGGAGTCTGCATCCTGTAGGGCCATGAAGCCTGATGAGGATGTCATCAAGAAGGGCTAGCCCGGATTAAGCCCAGGATGAAGACCAGGCAAGCCGGATCGAACGAGATTAAGTGGGGCTTTCTGGGATTATTCGGCACTCGACCGCTTCTCGGCTATGGATCTGCCAGCGCCGATGCTGAATTTTGACCTCCCAGGGGTTGCATCCTAAGAGGGGGAGTCGCCGATCATGAGCAGGTCCGCGCTCGGGGCCACGCCCCACCGCTCCGCGATGGCCGACAGCGCGCCGGGGTGCGGCTTCGGCGGCACCGCCCCGTCGTCGCGGCTGATGGCGGGCCAGAAGCGAGGGATTGGATGCCTGTTCTGGGGGCCTTCCTGGATCTACTCGCTGCACTCATGCGTCGGTACTGCGTCGAACGTCAGTCGACGAGAGTCGAACTTGAGTCGAGCATGAGTAGAGCAAACTTGAGTCGAGCGTCGAGCTAGGAGTCGAAAAAGGTGTCGAACAGAGCCGTCAAGTGAGCCCCGGGGAGGCCCCCCAAACGAGCATCCAAGAGGGAGGCCCGCCGGTACCCACAGCTTGTCGTGGAGATGCTCCACCGTCCGCGCCGAGTTCCGGGTCACGAGCGCCGTAGGCACGCCGTGAAACCTGAGCCACACCGCCAGCTCCTTCACTCCGCTCTCCAGGGCGAGCGTCCGCCGGCCCTCCTCCTCCATCTCCTCGATCACCGCGCTCGCCGCCGCGGCATCTGCGGCCGGCATGTTGGCGACGCTGGCCAGCAGATCCTCCGACAGCGGCACACCGCAGCGCTGGTACATCGCCTTGAAGTCGAGGTTTGGCACCGTCAGCGTGCCGTCCATGTCAAACACGGCGCCTCTCAGCATGGGGCGAGCGGGCGAAGACACAGAGGCGCCCCTCGCAGCCATGAGGCGGGCGTCGCCGCGTGCAATGGTCAAGAAACTCCGTGCGGCGACCGCCCTCATCCACGGACTCTGTGCCAGGAGTCCTTCGCCCACTTACCTGACGCGAAACAGCTTCTGCATTGAGCTCAGTCACGGATCGGCAGAATCAAACTCGAGGACTGCTGCCGCACAATGCAGCCCAGCATGGCAGTCCCAAACAGAGGGAGAGAGAAAAAGAAAGAAATAAAGAAAGAAAGGAAGAACGAAAGAGAGAGAGGAAATAAGAGAGAGAGGGAGAGAGGAAGAAATAGAGATGAAAAGATGCACACGGGTGAGAGGGAGGCAAGACCAGTGGTAGAGACAGAGGCAGAGAGAGGAGGAAGAGAGAGAAGAAGGGGGAAGAAGGAGAGAGTGGGGAGACAGAAAGAGAGAGAGAGAGAGAGCGAGGGAACCGAAACCAGAGGGTCCCTACCTCCCCCTTGGTCTCATCAAGCCCCCAGCTCCCCGACACCTCAGGGGCCCGAAGCGGAAACGGACGGCCGTGGGCCCTGCAAGCACCCAGCGGGGGGCCAAACTCGCCCCAGACGCTCGACGATGCTCGGAGCCGAGTGCCTGCAGCGCCCCCTCCTCAGTTCATCCTCCTCCTCCGCCCCCCTCCTCCCCCTCCTCCCCCCCTCCTCCTCCCCCGCCCACCCTCCCCCGCATCCGCCTCCTCCTCCTCCTCCTCCTCCTCCTCCTCCTCCTCCTCCTCCTCCTCCTCCTCCTCCTCCACCATTGAATGCGTCTAGTTTGTGCCTCAGGCTGCGCAAGCCAGCGCGCAATCAAACAAATCGTCCGGTTGCCTCGGTGGTTAGACCGTTGCGCCGTAGCTTGCGCCAGACCCCCGCAGTCAATCAAATCATCCATTGGCTCAGCGGGATTACCATTGCGCCCCAGGTTACACCATAAATGGCCACATGAGTCGCGGCATCCTGTGCCAGGCATCCTGCAATCAATCAAGTCGTGCGTTGCCTCAATGAGTGTGGAATGGCGTCATTTGTTGCGCAAGAATCGACTCCAAAGACCTTTTTCCAGTGGAGCGTTCCGACAAGAAGCTCCAGGGAAGTACAGTCACAGCGACCAGGCAGCATCCTGGGGGGGGGCAACAGCAGAAAGAAATAAGCACGAAAAGCTTCGAATGCCGATTCATCGACCCACGACGACGACGAAGAGGCGCAGCTGAAGCTCGACAGAGGCCCCAGAGAGGCCCCCAAAAGAGGTCTCCCGCCGACGGCCCCTCGATCCATCGATCGGCGACGACGACGACGACGACGACGACGACGACGACGACGACGACGACGACGGCGACCACGACGACGACGATGGAGGAACAAAAAGCACCGACACCGCTGCTCTCCAGACCTCTCCAGGGGCGCGCTGTCCAGGATGTCGAGGCGACTCCAGCTGTGGCGGCGAGGGGCGGGTAATTGGTAGCATCGGCAATCCCCCTGGAACGACGACGACGACGACGAAGACGGCGGCGACGACGGCGGCGGCGACGACGACGACGACGACGACGACGACGACGACGACGACGACGACGACGACGACGACGGCGGCGACGACGGCGGCGGCGGCGGCGGCGGCGACGACGACGACGACGACGACGACGATGGCAGCGGCGGGGGCGGCGACGACGACGGCGGCGACGGCGGCGACGAAGGTGAAGAAACATCGGGGCGCCACGCCCACCGCCGCCAGCAGCGCCCACAGCGCCGTGCCGAGCACGCCGCCGGAGCCGCCGAGGAGCGCCGCGGCGGCGGCCGCGTAGCTGCTGCCGTCGCCTGTGGCGGGGCGGGCCGGTGGGGCGGCGACTGGCGGCAGCGGCGGCGGCCGCCGGCGACGGCGGCGACGGCGACGACGGCGACGACAAAGAACAAGAAGAAAAAGAGCAACAACAACAACAACAACAACAACAACAACAACAACAACAACAACAACAACAACAACAACAACAACAACAATCATTTTACCCTCATGCGCCATGCTTCCACATGACACATGCATCCATCTGGATAACACACCCCATCATGGGGGATTTTTCTGGCATGCGGGATCCGATATTCCCTCACCCAGATATCCCGCCCAAGAAGGTTTGGCCACCACCTCTTCCGAGGAACTTCAACATCCATAGCTCGGACGGCACATCGCCTTCGCAATCGCCTTGCGCATGCCCCGCATCTCAGAGGGAGAGGAAGAGGAAGAGGAGGGGGAGATGAGAGAGATAGGGAGGGGGAGGAGGAGAAGGGAGGGGGAGGAGGGGGAGGAAGGATGAGTAGTTGTAGTAGCAGCAGTTGATGATATTGTTGTTGCGGCTGTAGCACTAGTAGTAGTGGTAACGGTAGTAGTAGTCCAAGTAAGTAGAACTGGCTTGTGGCAGCCAAGCGTTCATAGCGACGCAGAAGTCTCAAAAAGTTGGATGGCTCAGCACATCCAGGAAACCTATCGCTGGACCGGCCCAGATATGGTTCCAGAAGCGGCTCGGGAAGCTGCGCAGGCGCCAGAAGCAGAGAAGCACCACGTACGGGCGCCGGCTCGGGCGTCCGGCCCAAAGCCGCTCCAGAATCGGCCCAGGACGGCTTCCCGGGCGCCGCAAGCAGAAATTCAGCATTCTCGAAAGAAAAATGTGAATTTGGCCTCTTTTCGGCGCGATCGGAACTGCCCGGGCGTCCGGCCCGGGAGCCGGGCCGGGTGCCGGCCGGGCCGGGCGCCGGCCCGAGCTCCGGAATCGGCACGGACGGCTTCCCGGGCGCCGGAAGCAGAAATTCAGCATTTTCGAAAGAAAAATGTGTATTGGAATGGCCTTTTTTCGGCGCCGCCCCGGAACTCGATTTTCCGGCGCCCGGGCGCCGGCTCGGGCGCCGACCCGGGCGTCCGGCCCGGGAGCCGGGCCGGGTGCCGGCCCGAGCTCCGGAATCGGCCCGGACGGCCTCCCTCCCGGGCGCCGGAAGCAGAAATTTAGCATTTTCGAAAAAAAAAAAAATGTGTATTGGAATGGCCTTTTTTCGGCGCCGCCTCGGAACCCGATTTTCCGGCGCCCGGGCGCCGGCTCGGGCGCCGACCCGGGCGTCCGGCCCGGGAGCCGCTCTCGGCGGCGAGCAAGAGCACCGAGCCCGAGTAAAAAAGGAGGAAGTCTCGAGCCGGAGCGTTGTTGTTGTTGGGGGGCCGGTTTTGGCGGAACCCCAAAACGCCTGAGCGCGAGCCTCAATTTCAGAGGAAATGCGGCCGGCGCCTCGGCGAGAGCGCCAGGGCGAATATAGGGGGTCCAACAATAATAATTGTTTAGTAATTGAGGTTCAACGACAACAACGACAACAACAACAACAACAACAACAACAACAACAACAACAACAACAACAACAACAACCAACAACAACAGCAACAACAACAACAACAACAACAACAACAACAACAACAACAACAAAAAAGGAGGGGGGAGGAGGAGAAGAGGAAACAAAAAGGGAACAGGCTTCCTTGAGGCCCCTCCCCCCCGCGCCCGAAGAGCAGGCAGTCAAATGTAAACCACACCCCTACAGGTCCGAAGCCCCTCGGGGCGGGCCCCCAGACACTGGTGAATCGCCCGCTCGTCGCGGGCGAGCATACATGCGAGGCGAACTCCCACCGGTGAGCACCTCCTGGTTCAACAGGATGAGCGGCGGGGGTGGCGTTCGGACCCAGGACCTCCGAAGATGATAATGGCTGGCCGCTCTGCGGTTGATCGGGAACTTCTGTATACAGAAGAAGGAAGGCGCGCTTGTGGGCGGGGGGTGAATGAGCGGGGAGCGGTTTTTGCGGCGGGTGAGGATGAGGAGGGCGAGGATCAGGAGGGCGAGGCTCGCGAGGGGGAGGACCAGGAGAGGGAGGGTCCCGCGGGTGAGGATCAGGCGAGCGTGGAGCAGGAAGGTGAGCATGTGGAGAATGAGGGCCAGGGGAGCGAGGATGAGGAGGACGAAGATCAGCAGATGCATCCTCGGACATTTTTTGATGGTCCCAGGGGGTGCGCTTGGGGCCCGTGGGGCCTGGGGGAACGCTGGGGGCCCAGGGGGGGCGATTTTTGCGAGCGAGAGCGCCGGATTGGGACACGCCTGGTGCGCCCGGCGCGCCAGGTGCATCCCCAGAACTGGTCGGGGCGCGCGGGGGGCCCGCACGCGTGGGGCGCTTTTGGCGACGATTTCGAGCGAGGGCGCCGGCCTGGGACACGCGCCGTGTGCGCCGGGCGCGCCCAGTGCATCCCCGCACACGGTCCCTGGGGGCGCGCTGGGTGCCGTGCGCCGGGGAGTCTCGCGAGGATGTCTCTGTAGCGAGGGCGCCGGGCTGGGACACGCCGGGCGCGCCCGCGGTGTGTCGGCGGGAAATAGTCCCCAGGAGGAGCGCGCCGGGCCCGCGGGGGGACTTTCTTCGAGGATGCCTCTCTATAGCGAGGGCGCCGGACTGGAGCACGCCCGGCGCGCCCGGCGCGCCCATGTGCATCCCCGGACATGGCCCCCAGGCCGCATGTGGCTCGCGGAGCGGTTTCTGCAAGAACGTCTCGAGCGAGGGCGCCGGATTGGGACACGCCCGGCGCGCCCGGTGCATCCCCGGACATGATCCCTGTGGGGGCGGGCTGCGGGGGCCGTGGAAGGCGGTTTTTGCAACAGGGATGTCTCTACAGCGAGGGCGCCTGACTGGGACACGCCGGGCGCGCCCAGTGCATCGGCAGCAACGGTCCCTGGGGGCGCGCTGGGGGCCGTGGGGCGCGTTTGGCGAGGACACCTTGAGTTAGGAGGCCCGATATGGGCACGGAGACATATGCTGTCCAAAAGTGACAGCGGCCGCTGTTGGGCAGGCGGCTTTTTTTGCCTCAATGAACCACGTCTGGGGCGGCGCGGACAGCGAGTCCTGTTCAAAATGAACAGGAACTGTTGTTGGGCATCGTGCCCATACTTCCGTACCCATGTCGATCGTCCCGATCGAAGGACGGCGCCAGATTGAGACACACCCGGCTTGCCCGGCGCGCCCGGTGCATTCCCAGAAATGGGCCCTGTGGGAGTGGGGAGGCGACT